TCCCCGCCCTTTTCAAGCTCTTTCTCCACATTTTTCTGTAATTTTTCCGTCCTTTCCTCGTTCTTCCGCCGCTCTCTCCCCGCCCGCCCGTGACATGCAGGGTAGGGAGCCCGATAGTCGTGAGTTACGAGGGCCCCCGGAGGTGCGAAATTGCCCGCCGCCCCGCTAATGGCTGCTTCCGCGGGCGACGCGCCCTCGCCATCACAGGGGCTATCGACGAGAAGGGATTTTTTTTGCTTGATCAGCGGTTTTATGACTTGCGACAAGAGTGTGATTTATGTGCGCGTTCGACGGCGCGTACATGGTATTGCAGTTCGTTATCGCTCCCATGAAACGCAGCATTAATGGTTATTGAAAACAAACAACCATGTTGAGCTTGTTAAGAATGTTCGTTTTAATATCCGGAAAAATAATATCCAATGTTTACCCTGCAGGTATGAGGAATTTTTAGTAATGTGAAATCTATATTAACTATTGTAGATGTAAATTCAATCACTAGTACTGAAAACAGTCAGTTTTACATTTATGTTGATTTTTTAAATTGGAGATAAGCATATTTAACAGAAACCTGAAGTTTTTGGAAATACAAGGGTAGTGGGTCTAACATTGTATACACCAATGAAATATTACTGGGAGAAAGAATTTGATCTTAGGAAACAATGGTTACTTCAAAGAAAAAAGTAATTTATTCAAAAGAAGACAAATTAACAAATTATATAATAAAAAAATATTCCATTTTAATACAATCAATATTCTGGCATTTCCTAAACTCTACAAGTTAAACTAAACCCAAAACGTTCACTAGCTATTAAGAAAATAAATATAATTTAAGGCTTTAAAATCATTCAGTGTTCTTTATGTTAGAACGTTTTCAATACAACAACAATTGTTGATATCCTTGTTTTATAACAAAGAATGGAAGTATCGTGGATTACCTTTTACCAACACGAAATACTGGACAACCTGTCTTCATTACTTTGACCGTTTTCGTCAAGTTCCCAAATAATAATCAATCAAGATTTAATGAAAATATTCAATTAAAAATTTTATCAAACGTGAATTCATTATTATCAGATAAATTATCTAACTTATGTAAATCACACTTTTTTGATTCAAAGTTGTTCAATTATTAACTTCGCGGACTGACCGTCTAAACCAAAGTAATGTATCAACAATCAAAAAGTGCTAGTTGTTTTTTCTATTGTGCGGGTATGACTAGTCATCATGTAGTCACCCCCATCATCGTCACCACTTCCTCTAATGTCACTATGAATAATGACAGAAAAATCTTTCATTTCTGGAACACGTCTTATCATTCATATATTTGTTCACTAATCACCGTGCACTCAATATTCTTTTGTCCCAATTTACATAAATGTATTCGGACCCGAACAAACATTACAACATATGCAAATGTAACTTATTGTGACCCATTAAAGTTGAAAATGTGATTTATCATTTGTTGTAACATCCCTTCATTTATTGTTAATGAATGTAAAAAAGCGCTATGAGACTGTTTTGAAAACGAATAAATGGCTTTTGTTTATACCAGCATTATAAACGACCTTTTCTGTTGCAAGAAATCGTTCATAATTGGGCATTTTACGGCACAAACAATGACCTATTTGCATTTTACAGCACGAACGATTGCGTCATCATACATTCAACCAATCGCACCGAGAGAATCGAGGGGAGATAGCGATAATCGGAAAATCCGACCACCATTTTCTCACACAGATGTCAAATACCCTTCGAAAAATTATTGATCATTGTTCGACAAAAGTTTGTCTTTCGAGGTTACTTAACAATTATTAAACTATTAATAATGTCAAATACCCTAAACGTCACAAAAAAGTTCATTCCCCAAATTAAATTTGATTCTCGTGTAAATTTGTAATGCTGTTATTAAAAAATAGCGTATGCAACTCGTTTATAACGATGCTTTGTTGCATTCGTACAAATTTGACAACTCGCTCGTTTTTTAAACAAGTACTAGTGTAATAAACGTAAAATTATAATTATAATAGCATAATTGCATGAACTATAAATAATATAATTTGCATGAACTATTGCATAACATAAATTATCTTATAATATTAAAATTAAGAAAAAAATTTTTAAATTTACCTGTTATATAAAAGGGATTCGTTTGTTTCTACAATATATAAAAATGCTGTATTTTTTCTTTAAGTAAAATTTGTTGCTACGAGTTTACAGCTTTATTGCTGATGATAAACTAGTCCTATTGAGTATACAAGGTTGTATTGTATCGTTTTGTAAGAAAAATGCTTCCTTGAAAATAATATTAATTAATTATGAGGCTCGTCACCAAACGTAATGTCATCTCCAGAAGGTCTGTGAATGCAGTATTGTTGCTTTCATTCTTCTTTTAGTGCTGCTGCTTGCATTATTTAAATTCTTTGGTTTTGTACAAAGGTTAAATAAAAGTGATGAAGACTTACGGCATGAGATCATGGTTTCTCCTGTTTTAATTGTCTGAAAGATCACAAAACGGAATTTCAGCATTTTATTTAAATTTATTTTTTAGCCGTTATTATAAAATGTTGGAATTATGGAATTAATAAAACCACATTGTTCACAAAACGTATTTTATTGTTATGAATTAACTATAATAAGTTCATCAATTCGTTAGTATATTTCCCAGATTAACATTGAAGTGTGTGGTTGGTTTTGAATTCATTGCCAATCTGTATTAACATAGTTTTAAATTATTTTCATGTTGTTCTCTCATTGTTTATCATCATTTAGATAACTTTTTTTGCAAAAACCTATTATATATTGCAAAATACGTTTTTTCAATCTTGCTACCCTCGACACATTTTTAAATGCGTTTAATTAAAGCAAACTGTATTGAATTTTTGCATAATTTGCGTTGTAATTTTAAAAACATACCGGGGTATATAATTTACAATTGATTTCACCGAAATATATATATTTCTTCTCATTATTATAGTTTGAAATTTAATTTTATTGAAGACAAATAAATCTCCTTTAGTTTGTGTTTTTGTGCTTGTTTGGGACGTTGTTTGGTACTCATTATTTGTAGATGTATTTTTGTATATGTTCCTTTAAAACTCATATCTTTATGAAGAGGTTTTTTCGAACTCGTTAAGTTCGTAGCATAAGTAATTTACAGAACTTATGAAATGTATTTACTACATTTCGAGTACATCTCGAGTCACGTCTTGCAAATACTTAGGAATACAGCTAGACAGTAAACTGAGCTGGGAAATGCAAGTCAATTTCGTTGTAGGGAAAGCCTGGAAATTACATTTTGTTATGCCGCGGATACGGAAAAAGAGTACAGTGAGAAGCAAAGAACCTAGCATGTATGTCATTAGTGCGACCTATATTTAGAATATGCGCGGTATGTTGGGTCCGCATTCAGACTTTTGCAGGCAAAGAAATCTAGAAAAAGTCCAGCGTAGAGCATAAAATTTACTTGTCAGGCGGTACCAAAATAAGGGTATGGGAGTCACTCGAAAGGAAAGAATGAAGTCTCTATTGCAATGTATAAAGGCGTACACAGGCCTTCGAGGGGGGTGGGTAAAGAAATTCAAAGTCGATTAGGGAAACCTACCTTTTTTGGCAGGAGCGGATCACATGCCACAAAATCAGACCCAAGATTTAAGAAAACCGGACGTGGGAAATATTCCCAATTCGCGAATCGCCACAATTAAGGGACTGCGAAGAGTTTGGCCTGTGACAATCTTCGATCCCTTTCCTCAAAGCCTGCAGCAAATTTAAAAATAAATTGTGTTTCCTTGAATGTGGATTTTGTTATAAATATATTTTAAGTAAAATTAGTGCAATTACCTATGTCTTCTTACCTGCATTCTTATTATTTTATTATTGTTATTATTATTATTATTAATTTTATGATTAATATTATTATGTGCAGTTGCGTGGCGTGAAGATTGCAGTGACGTGCATGTATACGCAGTGCGGTGAAGTGTGGTTGAAGTGGAAGTTTGCGTGAAGTGGAGTTCTATGAAAAATTGCACGGTAAAATGTTCCATGCTGCTTTTTGTAACGGTTTGCTAGAGTTTTGTATATGTTGTAAAGGTTTTCTTAAGTTAAGTTAGTATATTCTGGCCACAAGTTCTCACACTTAATTGCAGAATTATTAATAAATCTAATCTAAATCTACATGGTTTGGGGAGTAGAGAGGTTCTATGAAGTCTTTGCCGTACATGTACTGCAAAGAAGTGATGTCCTTAGTATTGCAAAGTAAACCTGCGGTTATATGAATCTACACGTCGCTTCAAATATTGATAATGATCTCAAGAGTATAATATATTTTAAGTGGCCATAAATTCTAAACAAAGGAATAATGTACGCAACTCTTTTGAACGTGTTTTGGCGTACTCATTTCAAAATACCGGCCTCCGCTTCTACTGTTGCTACGTCAGTCAACATTTCACTCGTATGCCGAATACTTGCCTTGTGTATTATTAAGAACTATTAAGAAAATTGGGTTCAACGTTGATTACCTATTAAGAAAATTGAGTTCAACGTTGATTAACGTGAGAAAATGCTATGAAAGCCATTTCCTTGTCCTCGCTAGAACGCAGTAACTGTTCGAGCCTTTTTTGAAGCCTTTTGTAGTACATAAAATAATATGGTATTTTATAACAAATCCACATGATGATCCACATGAAAATCACATGAACATTTCACCGTGCAATCTTTCATAGAACTCCACTTCACCAAACTTCACT